AATGACTGCTCCCGCCTGGGTGAGGCGGGAGGGAGTGTCAGACTCTTACTGACTAAAAACCACCCCGTTCCTTCTCCTGCACGTCGAGCCGGAGCCCCGGTTACCCGTTAGGTTCTCCGCGACTCCGAATCGGCATCGACCCTATTGGGCCCCATCTGTGGTGGTCTGATGGCTCTTTGAGATAGATATCTGTCTAGGACGCCCTCTATCGACGGTCCCATTCATAACATACACTTTGTTAAGTCTCATATATTTTAACACTGCCTCGATGGTTGAGTGGTGGCAAGTGCGACTGCCGGGCAAGGGGTCTCGGGTTCTATTCCCTGGTCGCGCAGAGTACTACTGGGTTTTTAAAAAAATCTCAGTAGTAGCACGGAGTCTGGAAATGTGCCCGGTAAATGGCAATAAACTCACCCCCTATTACATGGGACTCAACATAAATAGTGAAAAGTGGGTGTTACTTCTGTGTGCACCTCTGCCTACCCCTTCGGGGATAAAAGACGTGATGTTATGTTATGTTATGTTATATATTTTAACATCTGTACCAAAGAACATAATTATGTTCTTAACACCCGACATTACTATAAATCTTACATCCGAACCACACTCAACATTTTAAAGCTACCCTAAATAGGTACTTTATACTAATTGATCCCAGACAACAAAAAATCCATATTTGACCATCACTGATAAAACACACCACTATGAAAAGGGTTGTTTTAACAAGGGCTGAATAACCGAATACCATAGACTTGTTTTTGCTTCATAGTTACTTTTTTTTTGAGACAAGGTGTTACGCTCTCAGCCAAGGATTTCGAAGAAGGCAAAAAGTAAATAATGAGGTATAGAACACATTTTTTGTTTCATTCCCTTTTGAGAATCAATCAGATAAGTGCCTGTGGGTATATTCTGTCATGCTAATTAATTATGGGGTTATAGATAATCGAGGGATATTTTCGATAATAAATTGAATATTTCTGGAGTATTAGTTAACAATTGGGCAGTTTCCAGGGTATCAAAATTAAAAATCTAATTAGTTCGTCAGTTAGGTAATGAAAAAATATTAGATACGTATTTTTTTATTTTCTCGTATTAAGTTGCAATACTTAGATAAAATGGCTAAGTTTAGGAGTGGGAGGTCGTTACGTCATAACGTGCAAAAAAATGTGGCACGCTGTGACGTCACACGATATTTCAAATTAACTATTCATTTCCGTAAGAAAATAAAAAATATGTGTCTAATGTTTTTAAATAATCTACCAGACGGACTTTAAAATAAAAATTAGCCGTCTACTCAATTGTGTCTACTTGTGAAGTTTACGTCTTTCTATGTGTTTCATCGAAATAGGTTCAGTAATTTAGACGTGGTTGCATTACAAACAAATTAATGCTTTATTGTTTCATTTTGTGCTTTGCCTACAACAATAAACTAGATTTTTTAAAGCAATTACCTCAAAATTTATATCGGATTACGTCAACGACGGACGCTAACACCTGCAAATAATAGAAATTAATTTTGATTTTGAGGAGGAATCGAACCTGCTACATGTTGCATAAAAGTGTGCAAAACCTAAGCGAAGTGAAATTACTTGTGGTGAATACTACGACATACGTTTAAGTCCAGCAGTGGCCCTTGGGAAGCCAACAATAATACGTACCATGTGTCTTTACCTATGTGTGGCTACTTACCATTTTAACAACAGTCAAGGGCATTAAAAAAAACGCGGACACAGTCTCTTGAAACAACGACTGTGGCACCTGGCTACTATAGACTTACACGCAGAATACATACACATTGACACGAAGGACATCTGTCGCGTCACATGGCCCGATGGCCCGTCATTACACTTCATACATTTTTTTTTTTAAGGGGGGAAAATCATCGAAAGACTGCTCCCGCCTGGGTGAGGCGGGAGGGAGTGTCAGACTCTTACTGACTAAAAACCACCCCGTTCCTTCTCCTGCACGTCGAGTCGGAGCCCCGGTTACCCGTTAGGTTCTCCGCGACTCCGAATCGGCATCGGCCCTATTGGGCCCCATCTGTGGTGGTCTGATGGCTCTTTGAGGCGCGCGCGGAACGCGACGCGCCGTACGCTCGGGTCTGTTTCTGGTCGGACGGGGAGCCACCCATGCTCGCCGTCCGCAGGCCCGCGCTTACGGTGGCCGGAGATCGTCCCGCGATCCCCGACGCCCGGTGTGTCCTTCGCGATGGCTGGGTTGCGAGGAGGCAGCGCTTCGCTGCCTCACGCGTCCCGCCTCCTCCTTAGCTAGCATGACTGCTTCGCAAAAGGAGGAGACGGCATCCCAGTCCCCCTCACTCCGCATCATGGCCTGCACTAGGCCCGGACGCGAGAGGTCGCCATCGCCGACACTTCATACATTTCGGTGTTGCTAGTACACGCACACATAAATACACCACTGACATTTTGATGCCTCAATCATTTCCAAGTGATATTACGTCCGCCTTTTTTTCAATATCCTTGATAGTATTGAACTCCCTCCAAATAGATCATTTAGCATACATATTTATTCATAGTTTTATGAACACAACACATATCTAGTATTCAGCTGGATTACTCACAGAAACTAAGAAATCTTAGTAAGTTTTTATTTATTATTCGTTACTAGAGCAGTAACTAACTGAAGAAACATAAAACATAAAGTCAGTGTTTTACACATTTCATTTATGCGGTACAACTTGAACTCACGTGGTGTGACTACAAAGATGTTCTATATTAAGTTCACAAAATAAAAACAGCAACATTGTTAGAATTTTATTATTCACACATTCAACATGACATACACATTCAACATTTACTTACCAACTAATTAAATTATTTCTACTTACGTTGTTCTTTCGATATAGACTTCATATAATTCTGGTTCTAAGCTCTGTTCGACTGGTTCACTTTGCGTCGCCCATCTTTTGTTCCTCTTTGTTTCATCCAAGTTCATCACCTTTCCCACTCTCTCTAATTTACCTTTCTTACGTAGTGGAAGGGGATTGAGAAATAACTTCTGTTTTTCTTGAACATGTGCTCTCACTTCTTCCAAAATTTGCTGCGGCAGCGGATCTGACTGCCAGTCAGCCATTTTAACTTCATCTTTCTTTGTACCGCCTACACTTTTCTTTTCCAACATCGAAGGCTTCATTTGTAGGTCTTGGAAATTCTCTAAATCTGGATTCATAAGAATAGCATTACTTTTTACTATTTGCTTGGCTGGGTTTGGATTAGTATTTAATGCTTTCTTTTCTACGGTATCGTAGATGTGGCTTCTGTGGTATAAGTTCTTGCGTGGATTTTGTGACACCGACCAGTTGTAATGAATTATGTTTGAGAATGGGTATGGCAGTAAAATTGATGGCTTAATCTCCTTCTGGTACTTCCCACCAGAGAACACGGGCTTGTACGTGATAGTTTTGTGAGTTGGTTGGGGCACATGGTGTGTCTTTTTACTAACTGGCTTCAGCTGTTTCCGATCATGTATGTATGAAGATGATCTTTGGAAGTGCGACATGGCATAGTAGTATGGCAGCTTACCAAAATCTTTCGGACTTAGAGATCCATTTTCGAAAAATGATTCCATATTTGTTCGAACATTGTTATGTGAAACGGGGACTGATGTTGGTGTCGTTTGTATAGGATTTTGTACAGTTTTTGGTGGTGCATCTACAACGGCGGGTATTACTTCTACAGCTACAGGTACGGCTGGTATTCCAGGGAAAATGTCATGTATTATTGTTTCCACTCTAGACGTTTCAGGGCGCAACAGCTCCGCTGGTCGTACTTTGTTATTGGCTAATGGTTCATACCAATATGAAACATGTTTAGTCGGCTTCATAGAACTCTCCAACTGATTCTTTTCTCCCTCGATATTTTTCAAGCCGTTCTTTGTTTGTTCCGGTACTCGGTCTGTGCTTGTTTTATCGATTTCCTTATAAATATCTTGTGCTAAATTGTATATTTCTACTATGGCATCTAGATCACTTTTCTTAACTGTGTGTAGCATTTCTGTTAGACTTCTAATTTCCTTTTCTGATAAATATCTGTCTTTATCAGTGACGTTTTTGTCATCGCGAGAATCTTCTACTTTGAGTTCTCTATTTGCTTGCAGCGAAAGTATACCGTTTATGATATTAGAATGGGCTTTCTTATTAAACTTTACGCCATTTTTGCTGCTATGTTTTGCATCGGGAACATTTTTTTTTAATTCTATTACACTAGCGTTCTGGTTTTCTATACCCAGACGTGTAATATTTATTAGTCTTAGAGGTGCATAATTTGTTCCTGTCATATTTTTCCTCTTGAGTTTACAGTGATAGTTACCGCAGAATGAAGTTGAGGGCCACGTTGTGTTTACGCCGTGAAGTTTGCCTGTTTCTGGGTCTCGGCAGAAGAAACCTGGAATGAGATGATAGAACATTATTTCAGTTCCCATTTTCTAGGCAATATTTTTTTGATAAAAGACAATAAAGGGCTAGGCTTATGGGAGCATCATGCTATTGTCCATTTTAGATTCGCCAATAGCATCCCCTAATCATGTCCTAAAACTATCATATACATATGACCATCTACAAGTCTTAACCATTTTAAAACCACACAGAAAGCACCATCCTTTCACCTCTGATTACCAGCATAGCCTTACTAATACGATTATACCACCCAGGTACGTGAGTATAGGTGGAAACTTTGAGTGATACCGTGTTAAGGGCTCTAGTCTAAGACTTATCCTATACAATCAAGCGAGGTTAGTGTCAACTTTGGAGGCGTGCGGAACTTAGTAGCGTGAGCCGTGACGTGTATAATCTTGGACAGGAATTAACGAACAGCGAAGTGAAGGAGATGTACAAATCCACTTTATAATGGTCTCGTTTTGTATGATCTTTCTTCACATTCAACGGTCAGTTTATACTGGTTTTGTATAGCTTAATGTATTTACAGTTCTCCTTAATAAAATTTCGTTATGACATATTTTAATTTCTGACCTGAACTAGACTGGAATACTAATATAGTGTTTATTCTCAGATTAGTCAAATACGAAATGTTGACTATCGATTAATCGAATCCCGGGAATCGAACCCGCGATCTCTTGCCTGTTAGTCGCACTTTCGACCTCGACCAACGAGGCAGTACCTCAATTTAATTACAATTTCATTGAATGAATTCTCTCACTTGTCTCTTAGAGATTGACATAGAATGTTCGGCGGGAGCGAGTTCCATAGTCTCAATGCATGAACGGAGAAGGATTATTATTTATAAGGAAATATGATTTTGATGAAAGGCTTTACTATTCCATGCCTGATGCAATGAATGTACTGTACATCACTACATAGTATAAAACAAAGTCGCTATCCTCCGTCTGTCTGTCCCTATGTATGCTTAGATCTTTGAAACTACGCAACGGATTTTGATACGGTTTTTTTAATAGATAGAGTGAGTCTTAAGGAAGGTTTATAAGTATAATACAAGCATTTTGCACCGGTGCGAAGCCGGGGCGGGTCGCTAGTATTCATTAAATTATAAACTGAAGTCGACAAAATAATGATCGAATTTCCTTCAGTATATATAATAAAAAAGTATAGGAAGTTTTTGATAATGAAATCTCGTATCAAAGTATTGTATAGGTCCTTTGTGATGGTGTGAATATTATGAATGCAATACATTTTGTCATGATTGATTGTAGTCTTACGTTTCACTCATTGACGATGTTTGTTGAATGTCTTGGTCATCCGAGCCAGAAGCAGGTAGATAAGATGCATTTTATACCGTAATTTTAAGGACAATAGGAGTGTGATGTTTCGATTTTCGAACCCAAGAAAAGTAGGATTCTATTGGTAGAGTTGTTCTAGGTTACAGTAAAAACAATACAACTAACAGTATTTTGTATCGAATAGACTTTTTAGTGGAGGTGAATTATATGACTACTTTTTTTTATTTTTTTATGGGGCAAGCCGGTAAACGAGCAGACGGATCACCTGATTGTAAGAATACCAGAGGCGTTACAAGTGCGTTACCGGCCATTTGGGAATTAGGAATTTGAGGATTGTTGAGGAATCAGGGATTGGCGATATTGGGGAAGGGGAGGGTAATTGGGCCCCCGGTAACCTCACTTACACGATGAAACACAACGTAAGCGTAGTTTCAAGTCAGTTTTCTGTGAGGCCGTGGTAAGTAGTAAGACTGCTGGCTGCGCAACCGGCTGCCGTGCAACGTGTTGCAGGTTCGATTCCGCACGGAATAATTTGTGTGATCCACAAATTGTTGTTTCGGGTCTGGGTGTCATGTGTATGTAAACTTGTATGTTTGTAAACGGACTCACGACACAGGCGAAAATCCTAGTGTGGGGCAATGTTTTTGTAAAAAAAATAAAAGCTATTTTTTTGTCAGCGTTTTTTTGAATATTATAGGAGCTCAATGTACAGGTGCCTAAGAATTAGGTGCTCTAGGAGCACAAACTCAAAAAAAACGTTATAAAATTAGACAGGGTATGAAAATCAAAAATGTAATTAGTCTGTCAGTTAGGTAACGAAAAAAATATATCGTCTGAGTATTTAATTTTGTAAGAAAAGAAAACATAGGTACATGTCTAACGTTTTCAACGAATCTACCAGATGGGCATTAAAATAAAAATTAGGACACTTTTTTTTCTAAAGGGGGAAAATCATCGAATTACTTTTCTCGCCTGGGTGAGGCGGGCGGGAGCGACAGACTCTTGTTGACTAAAAACCACCCCGTTCCTACTCCTGTATTTCGAGCCGGAGCCCCGTAACCCGTTAGGTTCTCCGCGACTCCGTATCGGTATCAGCCATATTGGGCCCCATCCGTGGCCTGAAGGCTCTTTGAGGCTCGCGCAGAACGCGACGCGCCGTACGCTCGCGTCTGGTTCTGGTCGGGCGGCGAAAAAAAAATAGGGTACTATTGTTTTTGTTTCTCTACTCATAGCCAAAAAAACATTGTCCCTAAAACAATAATTTTACTACTAATAATAGTTAGTATGTACCTTGTAATATTAGTAAGTTAGACACACGTCAACCCAACCATGTCTACATCTACATATAAACAGCGAGCTAACTACAATAGCCGGTCATCTAGTCATCTCATGTCACCAATGTGATTAAATGTAAATATTTTTAATAGGGCAGGTGTTTCTATTGTTCTACTATGCCTAAGATACAGTACTTAGGTACCTACCGACCTTCTTTCTGCGATATACAGTTCCTAATTCCCAATCTACGGCGTGGTGGTCTGGAGGTTTAAGACGCCCACTTCTCATGCATGAGGGCGCGGGTTCAAAACCTACCAACGGCAAGTACCAATGTGACTTTTTCCGAGTCATATGTACTTTCTAAGATTATCTAGACACCACTGACAAACGGTGAAGGAAAACATCGCGAGGAAACCTAAGCTTATAGTTTCTAATTATAAGTTTAAAATCGCTAACCCGCATTGACCAAGCGTGGTGATTAAAGCTCAAACCTCCTCCATTTGAGAAGCGGCTTTGCTCATCAGTGGGCATTTATAGGCTGTTGATGAATCAAGAAAAGACCGGTAACCCACTTGTAACGCTTATGGTGTTGCGGGTGTCTTTAATTGATCCGTCTGCTCGTCTACCAGCTTATACCATAAAAAAACACATATAACCTAATCGTACTTTATATGGATTTTTCACATTACCTACGTATATTTGGTAATGCCATCGTGTCATAAGGAAAATTCAATTTTTGACCACTTAAATGATCAGTAAAACTAGACCTCACTCGCTCAACATTACTATCTTCAAGCGATCCCGAAAACAATAGCCATGTTATTTAGAAATCAATAACACTAACAACTCTTTACGCATCCTAGAAAATCAACCCTACACAGTCAACAGTTACCCAACCTGGGGACTTACTCTTGAATCCAATTCCGATCCATCGACATTGGTATTGTGAAATCTTGTACTCTTGAGTTGCAACACTAGCGCCCATTGCATCCGTATTGCGTGGATATTGAATGAAATAAATGGTATTGACATAACAT